CTTCTTCTTCTTCTTTTCTTCTTCTTCTTCTTCTTTTCTTCTTCTTCTTTTCTTCTTCTTCTTCTTCTCTTCTTTTCTTCTTCTTTTGAAAAACATTATTCATTTTAATTTTTGGGGTACTTGGGGTAATTTTTGGGACATTTCCAAATTTTCTCAAAAATCACCCCAAATTTTTTAGTCAGGAAAAAGTGAAATTTACTTATAACGGGGGCAGTTTATAGCTTTGTTTTTCACTGTTAACTCTTGAATTTTTGGAAAATTGTGAAAATATACATTTTTTCGGGCAATTTCATACAATTACAATATTTACTAAGTGAAATTTATTTATAACGGGGGCAGTTTATAGCTTTGTTTTTCACTGTTAACTCTTGAATTTTGGAAAATTGTGAAAATATACATTTTTTCGGGCAATTTCATACAATTACAATATTGAGGATGGACATTTTTCCTTCAAAAGCAATTTGTTGTCGTTAATTAGTTTTTTATGAAGGTCATGCACATATTTTTTTAAAATTTAGTAGTTTCCACGCAATATTGCACACAATGCAATTTAAAAAAATAACAAAACAAGATTTTCTCCAAAAGGCTTCAAAATAACTCTTTAAACTCTTGTTAGGGATACTGAAATGAAAATTATAAGCTGACATCAACGCAATATTGCTCTATTCTTTTGTTTTCTCAAAAATTACGAAAATGTAATTTTTTTAACTTGTCTCTAATGTTAATATTTACATTAGTAGCAATTTGTTAATATTATTGTATTTATGAGTACATGTGTGTTAAATTATGTCATAGAAAGTTTCTCAAAATCCCAACATTTCTGTGAAAATGAGCTCAAAATTCTGCATTTTCAGAAATGCTCAAGCATCATTTTCTCAAAAATGGCTCCAAATTTGTTCTTCAAAGTTCTCCAACGGATAGTGTTAATTATACTGGTTAATACGACATAAAGATCAGTTGCTGTATTATGGTTCCTGTGCGCTTTCCAGAGATAAACAAACAAACAAACCAATAAACAGTAATAAATGAATGAATCAATCAAACAATCAATCAATAAACAAATAGATCAATCGATGTATCTATTGATCTATTAATCGATCGACACTATGAACGATTGAACAATCGTTCGAATGATTCATTCATTCATTCATTCATTCATTCATTCATTCATTTGATTGTTTGATCAATCAATCAATCGAGTTCATTTTGGGGTATTCATTTGAGTGTGTTTTTTTTTTTTTTTTAATTACTCAAATGTATTTTTTAAAACTATTTTTCACTTTGTTAGTAGATACATATCAATCAATTTGTAAAATCTATTGTATTTGAGAGTTAAAGTGCTTTAGATAACTTCAAATGAAGTTTTTCGAAAATTCGAAAATTGCTGTGAAAAAGAGGTTAAAATTTGCATTTGCTTCTTCATCGTTTCTTAAAAATGTCTCAAAATTTTGCAAAGAAATTTGCTATTTAGGACAAGGTTTTACTGTTCGTTAATCTTCTTATAATAATATTTCTGTTCTACTATTAGGATATCAAAAAGTTAAGAAAATTTTTTAAAAATATACTTTGGGCTTCCATGTGGGTTATCATGTTTTACACTTGAACTTGTCATTTATATTACAGTTAAATTTTGCTTCATTATATTGTGTTATGGTAACCAGAAGGTTAAAAATTGTCTTAATGTTTAAAAACAAGTTGTCGTTGTTCCTCTTTATTGTCTAGACCAGTGAAACTGTCAAACAGAGCACGAATATGCTTGAAGCGTGTGTGTGCTTATCAATGAACACCTGGTCATGCCATGTCTGAGTAGAGGGGAAGTAAATATCCTAATCATAGTGCTTCACAATAGGTAGTTATGGCATGATAACGTAGAGTAAATTTAAGTCCTTAATAATTGATTAAATTTTCTTTTTGAAAATAATTTTAAAAATATGAATTAGAAAACGTCTCTAAAAATGAATTTTTACTACCATATCCTGGTAGACCCTTTTTGCAAAATGAGCAAAAGTTGAAGAACAAATGAAATTTGTCTGATTTTAGTTTAAATGTAAATTGATGTGTAGGTTGCACTTCAACCCATTACATAAATTTTAACATGGGGGGGGGGGGCGGAGAGAGAGAGAGAGGGACTCAAAATTGCTGTTTCTCTCTCTTTTCTAATTTGAGGTGTCAACGTAAGCTCCTAACCAAAAGAAACTACGTAAATTATAACAATAATCTTCAAAAAATTCAATAAACCCTAGAAATTTCTGGAAGTACAATACCAGAGGCTTGCTGAATTTAATGTATCTGAATTCTGAATGAAGCGAAAATATCAATTCGATTTTTACGGCCTTTGCCAAATACCTTTTGTAGGCCTTCCAATTGCAATTTTTCTGCTTATTTAGATGATCAAACTCTGTTTAACGTAACTACAGTCGACATTTCAGTTTCAGACATTTTCACAAATATAAATAATCTTGACATTTACAGCAGTGAAGGTCCAGATGGAGTACTGGCTATTTTTTTCTAAAGAAATCTAGTTTCATTTTTTCTCAAATCTTAAAGATTATTTTTGATAGGTCATTAGCTGAAGGAACATTCCTATGGAGCGGAAATCATCCTTCATATTGCCTATCTTCAAATCATGAAGTAAAAACGACATCACTAACTATCTCCGTATCTCAATTTTAAGTGCAATATCAAAGCCGTTTGAATCTACAATCGAGGATAAACTGAAACCAAAGATTTCTCATCTTCTCACTAGACAATTCAGATTCATGAGTAAAAGGAATAATTGAATCTAATCTGATGAATTACATTCAATATATCCTAAATAGCCTAAATGTCATGTTCTCTGCATTTACACAGATTTTAGTAAGGCATTTGACTCGGTGAATCATTCTTTACTTTTGCAAAAATTGTAAGTTTTGGCTTTTCCAGTCCTTTATTTAAATGGTTCTTTAATAATTGTCTTACTAATAGAACTCAATTTGTGTAATATGGGAATATTATTTCAGAAGGTTTTCCAATATTATCTGAAATACCTCAAGGGGCCCATCTGGGTCCTCTGCTTTTCATAATTTTCATGAATGATCTAGCATTGTGTTTCAAAAGATGTTGAATTCTTGCTGTATGCTGATGACAGCAAAATTTTTAGAGAAATTAAATATTATGATAATTTACTCGCATTACAACTTGCTCTTAATTGTAAAATGGTGTGAAGACAATGACCTCATTGGTAGCCCCTGGCGAAGGTAAATGTATCACTTTCTCTTACTTTAAAGCCCTTTTCTTACTTGAGTACTCAACTAACTTAACTTTGTGAGAAAAAGTAACTGTTACTTATGATTTAGGCTTTATTTTTGATTCCAAGTTATTGTTTGTGCATCAGGATTAACAAAGCGAACCAACTACTTGGGTTTATTAGGATAACGTGTAACAAGTTCAATAATAAGTTTTTTGAAATTGCAGCAACTTGCCTTAATTTACTTGGTATTGCTTGATACTCATGATCAATAAATGGATTAATTTCCTTAAATATCCCTTCAGTCTCCTCTTTGAGGGAATATAATGATGTAATTTATTTGCACACATTAATAGCAAAATTATCTGCTTCTTGATTTTCCCTTTCCATTTTTCCATGAATAAATAAATAAACGAATAAAGGACTGAGTAAATAAATAAATTTAATATAATTTTATTATAATTATTTATTTACTTATAATTATAACATTTTAATGCATTAATGCAATTAATGCATTTTCATAATGGTTTCTTTTATGTTTTATTATTTCATAATGTCCAGTGCCTCTTTATTACCTCCATTTGTTTGTGGTATATTTTTTTGTATATTTTCTTCTCTATCATTTTGTTAAAATCTAATTGTATTTCCAAAGTGATAACTTGTTCTTTTATTAAATTTTCTATTACTAGTTTTGCTCAAATATTATTTTTGGTATAGAAGACCAGCGGTTTTTGCTAGGTATTTTCATTTGTTTTTCTTTGCATATTTCCTCAATTTCAAAGCTGCTTTCTATTCTGTGTCTTGTTGCAGTTTCGTCATTTGCAAGTAATATTGACAATAATTTCTGGTTATTTATCTTCATTCCTACTTGATTTTTTCTTTCCAAATTCTTTTCAAATCATCCATTGAGTAGATGTTGAGGAGTAGTGGCTACAGGATGGTAGATCTTTGTTGCTTCTCACCTAGTTGTGTTTTTTTAATTTTTCGTTACTGTGATTGAATCCTGTTCAAAGCTCCTGTATATTTTTGAGCAAGTCTTCTGGTACTGGTTCTTGTGTCAAAATTACCCATAGATTCTTATGACAATGTCATTTCCATCAGAATTAGGTCAAATGAGAAGTGTGATTTGAATTGACTTAGGACTTGTAATTTTACTAGGCAGAGTGGACAATTCAATTTTAAGTGATTGAATAAAAAAAATTCATGTTAATGCATGAAAATACAAGAAATAAACTTTAATATTTTCTTCCCCAAACATGGATGATATAGGAAAATTTACTACAGAATTTTTGTCACCTTTCTTAAAAAATCAATTCCTTTCCATGATTACAGGTTCAATACGACATATTATCTCAGCAACTGAAGAATAAAGTGAGTTCTGACTTTCTTCTTCAGTTGGAATTGGCAGATCTACCAGCAGAACCTCATTATCCATTACAAGATATGAATAATGTTTTGCGCTTTACTGTGGAATATGCTCATCACAAAAATGGTTCTATGAATGGCAAAAATGTAATGAATGCCTCTCGCAATAATTCACAGTATACGGAGATATTATCTACATATACAAATTCTACGCTTGGGGTGCAGAATCACTCTAATCAAGACTTATTTAACATCAGAGCAACTAATCCTTTTGGCTATAGGCCTCCATTCTGTAAGTAACATTTTGTAATAAAATTTGCTTTTTTTTATTTTTATAGTACTTTAATAGTTTTGACTTTATTGTTATTTTGAAAAAAAAAGAAGACAATATGTCATCCCAAACCTTCATTATGTCATGATAAATAAAGATGTTGTCTGGTATCAATATTAGTATTGATACCAGACAACATCTTTATTTATCATAATAATAGAAGGTATCTATCTCACCAGTGATCTAATTATTAACTTCATTAAGTCATTTGTCTGTACAAACTATTACTACCCTATTAACATTGAAAAGTTCTTCCCAAACCTTCCTTTAACGTTTTTTTGGAATATGTTGTAATATGTAGTATTATGCTATTTCATTAACAGTAGTGTTGTTTTAAGAGTTGTAATTTCAAACGAAGTGGTTTGTGCTTTATTGAACTAATGCAATTTGAAAAAAAATATTGTGAGAACCCTGATTACTCTCTTATTCCTAATTTTATTTACTTTATTCAACAGTCAAGATTTTGGCCGGCCTTGCCATAACTCTGTATTTCCTTTCTATTTCACAATTTATCATAGCTACTTCTATGATGCGGATTGGAATCACTCATCAGTCTTAAGAAAAATTTATAATTATGTATGACATCAGACTAGCCCAGGTGGGATTTCAAGTTGAGAAAGTTAACATAGTTTTCTTATCATTTCTTAACTACTTGGTTAAAAACACATTAATCGTTCTGAGATGTTAGAATTTTGCTTTTACCATTTCTCATTACACCCAATATCGCTGCTCCACTGTTAATGCAATGAAAAAACACAAATAACAACTAAAACCATGCAATATAATCTTCTCTTTCATTCTATATTTATGTACAACACATTCTCAAAATTCATCATTTCCCTCACTTACTTTCTCATGGCCGTGCTATCTCTGATTCTTTTATGAATACTTCTTTCATTTAAATTTGACATAACTTTGTCTTCCTTTATGCGTTATTTAATGCAGGAAGTTCCAGTACCGAGTTCCATGTTATATTTTAAATCTGAAACGGTAGTTTTGTCACATAAAGGAAATGGCAAAATTATTTATTGGATGTCATGGGTATGCCACTGGGGGCCCAGTGCAGATGGGTGCTTGTGGTGCAACTTGTTGAGATTCCAGCTGCTGACAAAAATGGGCTGCAGTCATCAGCAACAGGCTTGGGCTCGTCCTGAGACACCTTCCATTCTTGTGCACCTACCTCAACCATCACCCTAATCTAAACTTTCAGCTGTAACCATGAACCTGCATGATACACTACTTCAATTTCAGCGCATCCTTCTCAACACCTTAAGTTTCTAAAGTTGAAATTGAATTTTTTAATGGGAATAGTTCTGAAACCAAAATAGTCTTAGATCGGTATACTCAAATTGCACAGTTGTTTCGCGGGACTGGCAATGAGGAAATTCAGTATTTTCGTATTTATCTTACGGGCCCAGCTGCCAATTGTTCTGAGATTTATCTTAAGGACTGTTCGTTACCGTTTTTCGTTTTTAGACAGCAGTAGAAACCGCATTTACTAATGCATTCCGTGTTTCTGTTAGGTGTAATCAAGCATTATTAGTGCTCCAGCAGCGGAAACAAAAGAAGAATGAGACAATCAAATCATTTACTTTCGAAATTTTATGGCTTTGTAAACAGATTAATCCCCATATGTCAAAAGCCAGAAAGGTGGATTGGGTGCTATGTAGTGCAAATTCGTATATCGAAGTTTGGACCTATTATATACCATCATTTTCTTCCTCCTTTGCCTGTTCTTCCTTCTTTTCCTCCTTTTTCCTTTGAAATAATTTTAACCCTTCTCTATTTGTCATTTTTTTAATGGTTGAAATTTCTTGTAAAATTGTATTTTCCGTGTTCAGATTGTATGATAAATGGATAAGTAAAAACTAATTATAGATTGATTAGGCATAAACTTGTATGATAACAAAGGTAAATTGGAAATTTATCAGAGAATTACATTGATTTAGAAGTGTATTTTATTAACTCAGCTGTTAAATGACATTGTTTTTATAAATTTTTCAGATCCAAACAGCTTGAGTGGTCCAAACACCTTCAGTAATTTTCCAAGAACAATGTCACCAACTCACAGTAACCATCTTGGCCATATTCAGTATTCAAGTGAGGTGAGTATTTCTCATCAGTTTATTTTTTGATGAATGAAACATCACTGTCCTTTAAAGCTTCTTCCTTTCGAAATTCAAAACTATTTGTTTGCACTATGTAATATCTTGAGTTCGTATGGTTAAAGCTTCTGCTGAATGTGGTATCACCTGGCACATTCATTCATTATTCTGAATAGCCTCAAATCATAAGACAGCATAAAAACACCGCACAATAAACCCAAAGACACCATTAGGAAGAGGAATTGCTAAATTGCAATTCCAGTTTTCGTGCAAACTTAACAGTCAACACTCTTCGAGCCATCGCTAGACTGAGAAGGAAGATAAATACTAATCATCTGTTCATTTCTGCATTTTCTACTCAATAGTGGTACTAATTTGCTTTTGTGGTCAGGTCACTACTTTCTGTTTTTAAGCTTCTTTCCTCTTTTCTGTTTCTTTGTGCCCACTGTTTGCTGCAAGTAGCAAGTTTTAGTGTTTGACAAGCAGCAAGCATTCTGTACACCCTTAAAAATGCTTGAGGGGAATCTGCCCACTTATTAACATTAAAATGTTGATAATAATACTAAACACCCACACATGTGGTAGCATTCTTGTATTAATAAGAACTACTAAGGGTTTTGTTTAGTAAAGAATATTGATAGTTAGAAATAATGAAACTCTTTCAATACAATGTATAGTTTTGTACATTTGTAGAAGAGATCACAAGAAAATCTAACTGTATATTTAGCCTATAATAAATGCAATATTTAACTGAGATGTTTGATTAACAGATACAATGCTTAACTGATTAACTGAGGTGAGGAATGACCATGACCCCCTCGTAGATCTGTCTCTGTGAAAAATGAATGATATTGGAGGCTTCTTTACATATGTTCAATGGAATACAAACAAAATTTTAAAAAATTGTAAATCTTAATAGAATATATTGATATGTGTGATCTACAGACTCAACCATAAGAGCAATAACTGCTTACAACAGTGGTAAATATCTTCTGCTTGGGTTCCTAGTTTTGGAGATACTGGACTCTGTTAAAGATAGAAGATAAGGTCATTTGAAGTCTTGTATTTAATCTGACAGTGAGAAGATTGATAATATACTATTCTTCATTTGAGTAGAACATGTTTTACGGTACTTTTATTAAGTGGTATATATTCATAAAACAAACCACAAATATTTATTTGTTATTAACATTTAATTTTTTTTTTAATTCTCTGCGGTTATTCCATCATGCTATTTCTAGTGTAGTAAGAGTCTATTTATTTATTTATTTATTTGACATAAAAATGGTAAAAAACTGAAGCGTAGTATGGGGAGAAGTACTATATTTGTATGATTTCTTGAGCTCTGAAATGCCTGTTCTAGTTCAAGTGCAATTCAAGTTGAATTATAAATACATAGAGAAACGAGTGTTTTTGGCAAGAATTGATATGAAAATATTCGCTCCCACCACTTACAAAGGCAATTCAGCTACAGATTTGGGTTATTATCCCTAGTGTTTTACGTGGAGGAATCAACTTACTGTCCCAATAAAATGGAAAATTACTATTCAAATATCTACATTCCTGAATATGTACACAGATAGTGAAGCTACATTTATGCCTAGAAACAAAAAAGGGGCCATCTCAGCATTTGCTCAAAGGATCAGGAAAACTGGACAAACAACCTCATTGAGGGGGGGGGGGGGTCATTGACCCAGAAGCCGAGGTTCCATTCTTATTCCAGGCATATTTAGTCTTTAGTATTTATACAGTCTAAATGGTAACTAATACATTAGATATCATTTTTGAAACAAATATTATTTTGATGCTCAATGTCCAAATCTATAATAACAGTTATGCAGCAGAAAATGTCCAAATCTATAATAACAGTTATGCAGCAGAAAAAATTTTACTTGGCACTTAAACTTGTATATCAATTTTAAGCGTTGGGTGGGTGTGCCCTGTTCTGTAACATATGTGGGTTCGTGCATGGATTTTTGTGGCACTCAGTGTAATTAAGTGTTTGGGATTTTTTGAATCCTTAAAGGGGGAAGAAAAAGTTTATTCAAATACAATCTGAGTATGTACAAGTACTTTAAAATGTAAAATATATATAAATATTGCATTGAAGACCTGCATCAAAATAACAACTGAATAGTACAAAAACCGTAACAAAAATTATTAAAATAATGAAATTTAAACAATTATCAAGTTTTTCAAATACTTCTTCCTCTTTATCTCAATCCTTCGTTTAGTTGCTCGTATTTTATGTAAGTGAGCTTGTGGCAGACATCATTTGTTCCAAATGGCCTAATTCAGATGTTCCCTACCTCCTGATTTCTCCTGAAAGTTTCGTTCACGTTTATTGAGTTAAGGTCATTATATCGAAAGGTAAATTAAAATACATCAAGACAAAGAAAAACAAATACAAACTTTGGCATTCTGTGTTATATTACTTGAATAATTGATTTAAAAAACAGATGTCTTGAAAGTTTGTCTTGTTTGTTGCAGATTAAAAATAGTACAGTTACTGGATCTTGGCCACCTGAATTTCATGTTGGTGGCTTGAGAAGCGATAAGCCTGATCATGTAACTGGTGGCAAACCAGCTTCAGGTTTGAGAACTACAGAACCTGTTACATTACCAACATTTGCCAATCATGTTAGCGAAAGTAGAGAATCTCTGACAAGTGGGGAGTGTGCCAGTCATGCTACAGGTGATACGGTGACTGAAAGGAAGGATGGCCCCAGCCTTATTGCAGAAACTAAACAAAGAGAAGTGTTTGGGGAGAAAAGAGCTAGTAGTTCATCTGCTTCTGGTTTAACTCCTATTGAAATAACAAGACCAGGAATTTCTGGTTTCACCTTAAAGCCAATGTTAGTATCTTTATTTATATAAATTTAAGATGCTATCTGCTCTTTTCAACTTTAATATTTCATGTTGGGAGAAAATGATCGTGTCCTCTTGACATGTCAAAGCTGATGGTGAATCTTGAGAAAATCTAAAATTCTCATAAATACTTCACCCTGGCCATTGTATGTTTATGTTGCTCACTTTCTAAAGCAATTAAATAACTCAAAATTTGACAAAATTGAATAAAAAGAAATAAGATTTTGAATTCTTTTTTGAGGTACAATGGTGTTGACAAATTTATTTCAAGAGAGTTGATGATTGGATGTGCACTTCTGTATTACATATGTGAACTTGAAAATTCAAAAGCATCTCCTCCAAAATAAGCTTTCCTACTATCTCGCCCTTAAAAAGTAATTTCTTAAGAAGAGAGAGTTATGTAATTGTGTCCAAGCAAAACTCTTATTGCCGGGCTCTGGTAATGAAAAAATGGATAAATCCTGTTTCTAAATGAAGAAAAATTCCTTTTAACACATGGTGTAGTCTAAATCCATGTTTTCTTGGTTTTTAATACCAAATAATTGATTGATGGCAAACATCTATCAGTCTGTGGTCAACACTAGAAACTCAAAAAAAGATAAAAAATTAAAACAACAAAATTGATGATAAAGATTTTGGCCTCAGACAAAGTCTGTTGTACAAAAATTAGCTCTATAAAAAAGATTATGTGCAATTTCTCTTCTTACAGGTTATTGTCATACCCCCTTCTCTTTCCCATTCTCATCTTTTCCTCTCCCTCTTCTTTCCCACTCGCTCCCTTCTCTTTCTCATTCTCTCACTTTTCTCTCTCTCTCTTTCGCGCTCGCTTCTCGCTCTCTCACTCTCTCGCTCGGTCTCTCTCTCGCGCGCTCTCTCTTGCTCTCGTTCGCTCTCTCTCGCATTCATGAAATACTTAAAACAGTAGCTTCTGCTCATCATTTTCTCACTTCTCAATTAAAGACTAGCAAAAGAAATAAAGGAGATGTTACTATTCTTGTTCACTTGTACACTTAAACTGATCCTTGCACTACTTCTCGATACATCAGATTGAGTAATGTCAGACATAAATCTTTGGTATATTTATCTTGATTATAACCCAATTATTTGGAAAATAAAGCAGTTCTGTGATTTTCTTTTGGAAGCCCACTTGCAACTACAATATTCTTATTGTAGGTCAACAATCACAAAAACTCAGGAATTAAAAGTTATGATAATTTATTTTACTTATTTGGTGGGAATAAAACAAGAAGACAAAACTGAGAACTCAGGTATAACGCAGTCTCAAGTTTGATTAACGTAGTAAAAACCCTCAGGCATATGAATTACCTTTCAGTCCAATCCGTAGATTTGATTATGACCTTTCCAAATTCTACAATTTATTTAAATTGGAAACTGCAGGTGACTATCCTTTGATTCAATTTTCTTCCATAAAATTGTTCAGTCTCTTTGATCGCCCTGTGTGTTTTTTCTTCTTCATAACCCTCAGATGAGAACGAGAAACCCAGTTTGTTTCTGGGTGGAAGCATCTTCAATAAATTATAGCGATTACAACATATTTAATAACTGTCTAAAACTGCCATTACTATGCTAATAGGATTGATTGTTTCGATCATGACTTGAAAAAATTTTGTAGTTGCCTTAAAGTACTTTTAATCTCTGATCCAAAGTATATTGACTATCTTTAATTCTGTGATTTAAATGATTCTTATTATAAATTATTTACTATTATACATAATTCTCTGGTACATGGTGTGAGGAAATTTTTTGTTGGGCTGTGTGTTTTATATTCTTTAAGAAATTAGCTTTTTGTATTTTTATGATTATTTATATTTCAAGAGATCTTGCCATATGACCTGTGTGACATGTTTACTTTGCATAATTATTCGTATTTCTAAGGGCATTTCCTATTAATAATTAATCCTGTGCATTTTCACTATTTGACACCTCTGGTGGTGTAACTAGTTAGGTGAGATTTTTCAATGGTCTTCTAGACATCTTATATGGAATACCTTATAAAAAGTTTGAAGATTTCCTTCAGAGTCTTCGGGGAAAAGACAAAGTTACAGCTGTGCAATGAATTGCAGAAAATAATTTATTATCATTTAAGGGTTAATAGGAATGTACACTGTGTTTTTTACAAAAGACTTCGAAGCATTTAAAATGCAGATATAATTTTAAATGGATGCGTTATTTCTTGTAGGAATTTTGAAACAAAGCAGGCTGTAAAGGGGAGTACTCAAACACCAAAGCGATGGAATTATCAAAAGCTGTTTGAAGAGTTGCAGAGGTTCTTCAGAACAATCCCTGAGTAAGTTGAATAAGTAAAAAATAACATAAGTTATTCTCTGCAATAATTGGTATATTAAACACCAGTTGTAGACATGCAACCAGTTGTTAGAATAATAGGTGAGTAGTTAAGGCTCCCATCTCACAAGCCTAAGTGTTGGAGTATAATGCTTGTTGAAGCAAATTTTTCTTATTTCTTCTTTTACTTTTTCTCAAGTTTGAGATTATTAATGGAACTCAAGGACAGAGAGCCACTTTCATTAAACTTTTTAATGTAAAAAAAATTAAAGATGCTTATGTAATTTTATTAACATCTTGTGCTTTGTTTGGTGAGGAGTTTTCCAAGCGATGGCTAAAATGTTAGTAGGATAGAAGTTCTAATTTTATCATTTTGTGTAACTTACCAATAATACGAGTATGTTCTGTTGTAACACAACTTGTTTATCACGTTATGTAAGTTTTTTTTCAAGAATTTTTTACAAAATGGGCATGTAACCAAAATAACTCATTTTGAGCATGAACATTAAAATATATTGTTTTCCTGTTTCTTCTTAATGTTATGTGGATTCTGGTTCTACTGTTGCAGTCTAGTTTATTATGGGACAGGTGTTTACGTCATATACATTTTATAATTTTTTGATTTAATTTGCCAAATCAGAGTATTTATTAATTTTTGTACGCCATTCTTGTAATACAAGTGAGTGGGATGCCGTTATTGATGATATGAACATTATCTTTGCTTTTATGTATTTGGGTAATATCGGGGCCATGTAAAGGTTTTGTAATGTATGGTTTCATTTCTCTTTCCCAGTCTGTTTTAAAAGTATACTGAATCACAGGTGAGGTGTATACTAATATGTGTTACTATGTTGCTAAAATGTGACTTGCAAGTAACTGAGGTCACAGTTTTGCTACATTAATGTGCCCTATTCTATGTTTGTAAGACAACACAAACAGTTTTCAATTGTTTCTAATAAATGCTTGTACTTTCTACATTTGTCACTGCAAATCAAAGCTTTGTGGATGAAATTCCTGACAGTTTCTGGTAGGTCTCGTGAACCCTGTTGTTTCACCAAATAAGTTCCCCTTTTTGACCCAAAGAGTTGTAACTGCCATCTCTATTTTCAAATTGAGTAGTGTACACTCTATATAGTATTTTTGATATCCATTCTGTCTTTTACTGTCATTATTGTTTTAAATAGTCATTCAAATTGGGGTTTGAAATATGTAATGATGATATGTTAACATCAGCTCTGCATGCAGCTCTAAATATTGGTTTTTGCCTCCCATAGAATTATTGATTTAAATCATTGTATGTAATCATGTATGTAGTCATGGAATATTGATAATGCCCTTTAAACCTCAAGAAGTAAAAGTAATTTTTATTATTGGTGCTCTGAAATGTCTTGTGAATATTCTGTCAGTTATGGGGGTTATTCGTTGTTTGTTTTCAATATTTGTATGCTGGTTGTTTCACTTTCAATCATTGTTGACTTTCAGTATCTATTAGTAGGTTGTTTCACTTTTAAAACAATGATTTACAAAGTCTGAAATGTTCAAATATGTTCAAGTAGTCTAATTAATACTCAATAAACTCCAAAATGGAAAGAATGTTACACAAGTTCACAATTTGAACAGTATACTTTTCACCTAAGAAAATGTGAGAAAGAAGCTTGCTTAGCTAAGCAATTTGCATTTTGATATGGACATGCATGACGCATATTTTGAATACATTACCTTTAACCCCTGCTCAACAAGAGCGACAGGGCAATTGTCTTGACAGTACTTTTTGTTAACTTGTTACAGTTATGTAACATCAATAATTTAATAATAATAATAATAATAATAAATGAAGGATGGCTGAAACCACCGATGCAGAAGAAGAAAGAGGCAAGAGAAGAAAAAAGAAAAGAGAAAGTGAAAGCAGATCAAAACAGGCCAAGAAATAACACCTTGAACCAGATCATCAAAATCACTGCCAAAGAGGGAAAGACATATGCTGATATCTTCACAGAGATGAAAAGAGCAGTCAATTCAAAAGACAACAACACAATCGTTAAAAAAATAAGAACAACTCAGAAACAGGATCTACTAATTGTCCTGGGTAAAGAAGGGAACACATCATCATTTAACAATGCACTTGTAAAGGCAGTCGGGGAGAGTGCAATAGTTAGAACACTCATACCAAAAACACTTGTAGAAATTAGAGACATTGACGAGACTGTTTCAGCAAATGATGTAGCAGCTGCAATCGGGAGGGTCCTAGACACACCGACCGAACAAATAAGAAAGTATTGCAGACTATATAAGCAAGCACACAAAAAGCGACAGTCTTGCTACCTGCAGACCTAGCCTCACAACTACTGAAGAATGACAAGAGTAAAATAAAGATAGGATGGGTCAGGTGTGCCAGGTGCGCGAGAAGCGACAAGTAACAAGACGCTTTAAATGTCTAGATTTTGGACACATATCCTCCAACTGACCTCACCGTAGAAATACATGCTACAAGTGCGGAGAAACAGGGCATCACATAAAAGACTACAGCAAGACACCCAAATGTGTCATATGCAAGGATAAAAATCTAAATGATGGCCACGTGCTAAGAAGCAGAAAATGCTCCTCATTCAACGCCGAAATAAGCAAGCAAAGTAAGCGACAAAATAAGGTTCCTACAAGTTAACCTAGGAAGGAGCAAAATCGCACAAGATCTACTTGTGCAAGTTGCAACTGAAAGAAACGTGGACTTGTTGATTGTTAGCGAACAACCGACAACCGACAAAAACACGTGGTACGACATGTATCAGGATGCTACGGGAAGAGCCGGCATAATAATACATAATAAGACGCTGAATATCAGGAACCACAAGAGAACGAAATACGGGTTTGTATGGCTGAAAGTGGCAATATGAGAATTCATACCTGCTATTATTCCCCGAAAGATTCGCTAGAAAAATTTCAGAAAGATATCGATGAGCTGGAGGCCAGCTTGAAAACGTGTAAGCGCGAGGTATTAGTGACAGGCGATTTCAACGCTAAGTCGTCCGAATGGGGAGAGTCGCTCTCCGATAGAAGAGGAACTATCATATGTGAATTCATTGCAAGAAATGATCTGATCATCTTAAATAGTGGGGATGAGTACACCTTTCAATGTGGAGCCACATAATCTATTTTGGATTTGACAATAAGCTCCACTAAGCTATCTAAAGGCATCACTGATTGGTCAGTGCTCGACGGCCAAACCCTGAGTGATCATCGATACATAGGATATTCGACTTCATTAACGGAGGGGCTGCAACATGTCAAAACGCGATATAAAGGAAGACCACCTTGGAATCCCAAAAAACTGAATGAAGACAAGGCAAAATGCTCATTGGAAGAATCCAGGTTGTTGTTTAACATGGGTTGGTCGAAAATGGCGGAAACGCTTGAGGATATGGTCAAGGCAACGGAGGAAATAGTAGTAGCAACTTGCGACGCATCCATGCCTAGACGTATATGTCCGAAGAGAAAAACAGAAAATGTATTGGTGGACACCACATATAGCCGAATTACGAAGGAACTGTAACAAAGCAAGAATAATAGCGACAAGGGCTAAGACGAATCTGCACGTCAGGGAACAGTATAAAGAACTCTCCAAACGGCTTAAGAGAGAAATAAAAAGAAGTAAAGGCAGAGGCTGGAAAGATCTCTTAGAACAGATAGATAACGACCAATGGGACATGGCTTATAAAATAGTAAATAAGAAATAAAGGATGGACTGGAAGATACCTGGATCGAATGACTCGCAATAGATGAGGAAAGCTATCAGGGACCTCTTTCCTCCTAGAGATCCTTGGACAAGACAAAGACAGAGCGACTTCACGGTTGACGCAGCAGATTACTTCACGATAGACGAACTGAGGAGAGCGGCGAAAAGCATGAAAACTGGGAATGCCCCAGGTTTCGATGGAATTCCCAGTGAAATACTAAAAATAGTGGCAAAGGAGTATCCGGAATGCCTTTTGTCAATCTATAATCCGCTGCCTTGAGGATGGGATATTCAAGACGTGGAAGAGACAAAAGCTGATACTCCTCTGAAAGGGCAACAAGCCGGTAGATCAGACGTCGTCATACAGACCACTGTGCCTCCTTGACACCATGATTAAGCTGCTTGAGGATTTAATACTCTCTAGGCTTAAGGGAGCTTTTCTCACAGGCAATATGGATTCCGGAGAGGCCGCTCGACGACGGATGCCATCCTGGAAGTTATCGATAAAGCCAGAAGCAGGACGATAAAGCCAGATGCAGCCAGAAGAGGAGTCGACAAGAAGGGATTCTGTGCGCTCGTCGCAATTGACATCAGAAACGCCTTCAACTCGCTTGGTGGAAGGACATTATAGAAGTGTTAGTTAACAAGATGATTCGGGAATATCTCATAAGGCTTATCGAAGACTACCTCCATGAAAGGACGATAACTTTTGTGGACAGTATCAGGATAGAAGAGAATGTGACGCGCGGTGTTCCTCAAGGGTCCAGACTCGGGCCATTTTTATGGAATGTCCTGTATGAAGACATTCTAAGCATTGACCTGCCGAAAGATACGCATCTCATAGGATACGCTGACGATACGCTAATAATAAGCCACAGCGTTGACATTGAACTCCTCGAATTGAGAGTGAAGGAAGCGCTGTTTAGGGTTAAAAGATGGTTAGATAGACGACAGCAACAGTTGGCAGTGCAAAAAACCGAAGTTGTCTTAATCACCGACCGGAGGGCATTTCACTACCCAGATCCCCGATTGGGAGGGGAAAGAATCAGCTGGAAGTGCCAGATAAGATATTTAGGAGTCGAAACAGACCATCAGCAAGGGGCCCCACATAAATGTGATGGCAGAGAAGGCGGCGAGGTCAGGAGCTAACATCGCAAGAATGCTACCGAACGTCTGTGTACCGAGAGAAACCAAGAGAAGAATGATATCTGGCATAGTTCTCTCACAGTTGTATGCTGCTCCAGCCTGGGCGGGTACGCCCAAGTACAAAGACG